AGTGCTCCGTTAGCCAGAGCTCTGCTATAACACACATAATTAAGTATAAAGTCTCTTCTAACAAAGCTATGTATGACCAAACAGAATGTGATGAAAACAAGGCTGAGGGTTGTCTGGCACAGGTTAGTCCAGGAGTGATGGTGACCTGTGTAATAAATTATTTATTGAGTTACCTGAGGACAATTGAAATAGATTATGCACCAGTTTGTTAGTGGTTCTTTAGTTAAAAGGTCACTACATGAACATAGCACAGGGTTTTTTCTACAGAAATTCTAAATAAAATTCACTTTGGGGGTAAATTTGTTCCCAGCTAAAATAGACTGTCGTGTGTGAGACTGGAGATGGGCTTATAACATTTGCCTTATTTTGAGACCTCTTGAATTTCACAAAATCCCCGAATGATTTACGTTGAAAGGGGACTTAAAGATCATCTCACTCTAAACCCCTGCCATGAGCAGGGACACCTCCACAATCCCAGGTTCCTCGATTTGCCAAAGGATTATCAGGAATGAGCAGAAGAGAAAAACAGAGGAGAAGGAGATGTCTATAGAAAACAGAGTGGAAAATATGAATTAGCAAAAGGAAAAGCAAATGCATAAAAATTGTTGAGGAAAAGAAGTGGGAGAAATCCCAAGAGAACACTGACTGCATATGTATGTAAAAGTAATTTCTTCAGATTTGCCAGCACCCAACTTGTACAAATCTTAGTTTAAATGGATTGAGAATATAATGCTGAAGAGTAGAGTTTGGATGTGACCCTGCTAATTAAGCTGCTATTATGGAGTTTTTACAAGCTCAAAATTATTCCCTATTTAAAATGGTTGATATTTTCTCAAGAGAAGAGTAGGCACCCATGGCAGCTCCAACATGGAGCAGCACTTTCTCCCTAGGGAGAAGGCTCCTGCCTACCCCGTGCTTTCAGACTGAGTCATTATGGGGGAGAAAACCCAGACTTCAAAGTACCAAATTATGGGTCAGCTAATTAATTTTTTTAAATTGCTAGAGAAGCTTCTCCAAAGTTAAATCCCATCAAGTTTCCCCTCATCTCCCAACCTGAATCTTTGTCTGTCTAGAGCTGTGATTTCTCTGAATCCAGTCTGGGCTTATTTAGTTTGGATATTGCATTGCCTATGTGTCCTGTTGGCACCATGGTACCAATTTGATGGTGGGAACCTGTGTACTCAGTACTGTGGTGAGAATTACTATTAAAAAGCATTTTTTTTTAGCAGTGGCAGCCTGATAGTTCAATCTCAAGATTCAGTGGCCTCATTTCTGCTTCTAAAATAAATTAAACAGCATTGGAATTGGTTCTATGGCCCAATGACTGTCATGGGACAATCTTCCCATGTCTGCAGAGCTGAACTCTTGTAGACTCCAGACAGATGGCTGTATTCATACTGCTGAGGGACAGCATGAATTATCTCAAGCCACTGGTGATTATTTGGAAGGATTCAAGCTCAAACCATACCAGAGGCCCTTCCTATTGTTAAAAGCATTAAAATATCCCCCCCAATTATTGCTTGTGCCAGGGCCCCGGCACTGCTTATAGGGATGGAGGCAGATGTGGTTCTGGGTTGAAATCAAGGAGTCTGGGCCCCCCTTTCAGCTCTGCCAGAGGCTTTTTGCATGACCTTGATCTGTAACTTAGGGTAGGCTTCATTCCATTTAACATTGACTAATGGCGAGGGTGTCTAATTAAACCAGTCATGTGTGCTCTCTCTCTGATCAGAGAAGGAAGAGAAAGCAAATTCATGAGGTGAATCATGCTGTTTTAAGGCGAGTGTCAGAGACAAATGAGATGAATTGCCCTCTGGAAGTAGCTATTTCTTTCCATTAACCGAAGAGGAAGTCTACATTAGAAGAGTTTAGACTAGATGCCTGATTTATGAATGGCTAAAGTTAAGTAAAATTAGTCCTGTCCTTAATCTCTATGCATGCCTTTTTCTCCCTGTGCTGAATGATAGAAATAACACCTTCTGCACCTCACATTCAAAGGCACCATTGGACAAGGAGCATCCTTTGGAAAGAAATTAAACCTAGGAGCAAAAATACAACCATTAGAGAAGCAAAGCCCTTGCTCTTGAAACATCACAATGACAACATAAGCAGGACCATTAGGGGCATCCCAGTGCTTTTGCTATTTTCCCCCCTTCATATTTTATCAGCAAAACACCCCTAAATGAGTGTTCCAAATATATCCAGGGGCAGCTGGCCTGTTTTGGGTGACTGCAGTAGGAGAACTGAGGAAGGCTGACCATGCAAGAGAGTGTAGGAACCAGTCCTGGCTGGCAGCTTTGGAGATTTCCCTTGGATACTGCTCTTCTCAACTGACAGGGACTAATTACTTTCTGGAAAATCTCCCAGAGGAATGTAAGCTAATGACTGACTATAACAGAGTTAAAGAAAAAAATTAAGGGGAGAAGAAAAGCTTGCATTTTCTTAGCAAAAATCCACAACATCTAAACCAGGCATGGAGTAATTGTCCCAGTTGATAAGTTGTAGGTACATATGAGGCTTGCTTTTGAAAGGGAAAGCTTGCCTGTTTAACTACCTTGGGTAGTTAAAGGAGAAAAAATTAAAAAAAAAAAAGACAAAAAAGACCTTGTGTGGGTGTCCTGATAAGTGCTTATTTTGAATTGTAATATGGTACATGTGTATGGGCACAGCTGTGCTTGTTAAGGCTTTCACCAGCACAACCATGTCCAAAACACAACCCCCTCACAACATTTCTGTGTTATTGGGGGTATCTGAGATACCTGTAAATCCATTAAATCTAGTAACAGGTCCTTAGAGACCATTTTGGGGTTATTTTGGGGGTGTGTTAAATTACTAAATCTTGTTATTAACACTTTTATTTTATGATTTGCTGTTTCCAGGGCACAGACAGAAGCTTGATGACTCTAAACCTAGTTTGTTCTCTGAGCGCCTCAGTGATTTAGGGCGCATTCCTCATCCCAGTATGAGAGTAGGGGTCCCGACCCAGAGCCCACGGCCCTCTCTGAACTCTGCACCAAGTCCTTTTAATCCACAAGGACAGAGTCAGATTACAGGTAAGAGACAGAACCATAGGTTTGACTTGCACAGGCATTGGTAGTAATTGCTTATGGATATTTGTGTCTCAGCTGCAGTCAAAGAGGCTGTTACAGAGTGGGGGATGTTCTCCAAGCAAAGCTAGGTGGGAAGTGGATTTTTCTATAGTGCTTGAAGCTGAAAATGTTATTTTTTTTCTTTTTAATATATTTTTGCCATAAATCTAAAATAGTCAGTCCAGGTCATTTGAGTAGGGATATGGTGAAATTCTAACTGCCACGTTGCTCTGTCTTCTCTGTGTTGCAATAGTACCTTCAGTGTACGATAGAATGAACATTTTTATTCAGCCTTGTTATTTTGCAGTCTTGTTGAGGGAAGCAGCCAGCACTTGATGGTCTTTTTATCAGAATAATAATACAATCTTCTCACATGGTGGTTTCCTTCCACCGCCAGTGCTGACCATGGTTACAATAAATGAACTGGGTTATGGAGAAATATTCAAAGGTTGCTCGTGAGGGTTGTATGCAACATTTATGATTGCATGCTGAGAGACAGATTTCATTGTGCTGAGAGAAATCATAAAGCACCCACCATGTGTCACAGATTAGAAGGCTGAAATAAGATGTTTAACTGCAGCTATGCCAGAAGTTTGCAGCAAAACTGTGAAGCCTACCAAATAAACCAACATTGTTTTTTCTAAAGTCAGAGCTGGTTAAATTTTTCAAAAGAGATTCAAAACAACTTCTATCTAACTTTGGACATTTCTAGATTCTAAATTTGTGCTGACATGTTTTTGTCTATCCAGGATGTAAAGAGGTGTTACCCCTGACCAATTGCTAGAATTGTTGGAGAACTTCACCTAAATGCCAGTCTGTCAACAAAGCTCTTGGCTCAATTCCCTAGACAGATTTAATACTCACTTCTGCTGTGACAGTTGTATCCACAGCAGAGTCCTTTGCCAGCATTTTACACCAGCATTCCTTTCCTGGTAAAGCACTCCTAGTATAGACATAGTCTTTGAGTCAACCTAGGAAGATTTCTAGTTTCATGTTTCAAGTGGTTTTGACATGATACCAGCTGAAACTCAGTGGTTTTAACAAAGTGTTGTGGCTTTCTTCTTCTCTCTTTTCCTTCTTTTTTTAAGTTTAACCAGTTTATTAATTTGCAGTAAGAAAGAGAAGTGAGTTAATTTGAACCCAAAGCACTCAAGGAATTGCAAAAAAAAAATCATTCCCATGAGCTGTGGCAAAGTTCTCCCAGACCTAGAAGTCTAACTTTAACTAGTGTAAAATGTTTATAATATATTAAATATGTTGATTATGCCCATTACATGGTACCTGCTGCTCCCCAGCTTCCCAGAGCAGGTTTTTTTGGCTAGGCTTCATGATTTGTTCATTGGACATGTGAAGTCAGGGCTCTTGTGCATATCATTATCTGGGTAAAAACTGCTGAATTAAAACACAATATTTTTTTCTAACCAAGTCTTCTGTCCAGAAATGTTTGTAGATGTAGTTCCCAAGAAAGCAGGGGGGAAATCCAGGCTATAAGCAGTTTTTTTCCTTCTTCCTTGTGCCTCCATAGTTTACCTATTGTGCAACACTATATCTAGGAACGAAAGAGGCTGAAATTCTTCCTGACCCCATCTGGTGATCAGCTTATGCCCTGAAGCACAAGAACTGAGATCCCCTTGTAATTTTCTTCCTAACTAAGTGTAACCTCATATGCTGCTCCCCTTCACATAAATGCCTCCTGTAGAAAATGTTCTGCTGGCTTTGATTAATAGACTACTTCTCTGCCTCGTTATGAGGCAGCAGCAGCATTTACAGATCTGGGAGATGAAAGCTTCAGATGAGCTTTCAATAAGCCTGACTGGAAACAAAGTTGTGTGGCATTCCCTGCCTTCTCTGCAAATATAAGGCAGCACCAGCTGAGACTTCATCAAGAGAGGGAAGATGCAGTGCTGGTAAAGCAGAGAGAAGTGAGCTGAGGGATGCAGACTGGATTTCCCATCTCTGGTGGATTATGTGCTTTTATTGTTGGATAAATTCAAGGTTATGGGATACATTAGAACCCCAAGTTGCTCTGATTTCCCCCATAATGGTAGGAATCTCTAGTGAATAAGTGGTCTGGTATGGTATTTCTGATGTTGTTTCCCACCCTCAGAAAAGTCCAACAGCCAGCTCTACATTTGGTTGCTGGTGGTCATCCCATTCAGTTGGGTGATTGGTGTGAGCATGTTACATGGGTGCAAGCTCTGGGAATTACACTGGCTCTCCACCAGGCTTTTGGGTGCTCTTCAGGACCTTGGCTGTAATCTGTAAAGCTCAGCGTGCTCTGATGTTCCACCAAAGTGCTGGGATGCTTTTTTGCAGACAGTTCCTATTCTAGGATCTCTCCTGTGGGATGGATGGGTACTCTTTGCTGCACAAACCATGCCAAGGAGAGATGAAGGTGATGCCATGGACGAGGCACCCTTTGGTCGGGTGCTGAGTGGGAAATTGGTGAACATGCCTCTGCTTGTTGTGGTGGTAGGGAGTGAGGTGCTTGTGCTGTCCTTCAACACCAGTTTCCCTGTTCTGGTGGAATACTCAGAATGCCACTGGCTTCTTAACATAAGCACTGCCTTGGGTATATGTTAAAAGGGGAATAGACCCTTCTGTCTGAAAACCAGGATTTTTAAATTACCTTCCTTGGAATTAACCAAGCATTCCTTTAGAAATACCATGCTTTCATTATCTCTTTGCCTAGTTATCATTTAGGGAAAATAATAAATTTCTAATAACTGGAACAGTAAATACTGATTTCCTACAAAAAAAAAAAATCCATATTATTGCTAGTAAGCACATTTTGCTTCATTCCACTTGAGGCCTTGCATAGCTATTGCATGATTAAACAGACATATTATTTAAAGCCTGGCTGACCCACACCTGAGTCTGAAAGAACTCAGCACTTTAGGGTTCACTCTTATATTTCTTTTCTCTGTCTAGGTTGTGTTTATTTTCCTGGAGTATCAGAGTACAGGTTGTACAAATCACAGCACAGTCCTTAACCTACCACAGGACTGGGCTGTGGCAGGACAAGGCACAGAGTTGCCCTTATTCAACATGGCATTTTAACTAGGATTCAGCAAAAGCTACATCGAAGGGTGATTAAAAAACAAATGGTCCAATAAGCAGCTGCCTTTGCTGAGGCAGTGCAGATCCAATTTGAACCCTGCTTGCTGCCCGTAAATCAGGAATCCTGTCCATTCACATTTGTTCACTGGTATATTTGCTTTTTTTATTTTTTTCCCCTTTCCCTAACGGGCTCGTGCAACTTGTTCATGTATCCAATTACATTCCCGTTCAGACACTGAGCTGTTGCATCAGTGTTCCAGTATGAGACGAGGAAAGCCTGGGTTTTTTTTAAGATGCAACTGGTGAGGATTAGCTTCTGTAGGCCAGGAAAAGCCACAGGTGTAATGTCAGGAATGTGGTTGGTGTGAGGAGCCCATGGGCTGGGCTGTGGGGACAGCAAAGTGGGAGTTAAGTGAGGTTTCATGCTCCATCACCACTGTGGCACTGGCTGATCTATAGGCAACCTCTGACTTTCATCACTGAAATAACAGCCCTCACAGGCAAGTCCTGTGAAACCTTCACTTTCTCTCCTTTTCCTCTTCCCCTTCTCCATGCAGGTCAGGGATGTTATGCTTCCATTTCTCATAATTTTAAAGCAGATTTAAAGTCTTCAGAGCCAGCTTAGCAGGAAGGTAGTGAGAGGATACATCTTCACTGAAGACAGGGACTGATTTCAGGGACAGTGCAAACGGAATCTGCAGCCTGCAGATTTTATGCAAATTGATTTCATCCTCTGGTTGACTGACAAGTTGCCACTGTGGACCTCCATTTCATAAAGCTTGCTCCCCTCCTGTTATTCTTTTGACTTTTATTTCCCTCTACCCCCTTTTAAAACTTAGATGCCCACTGGCATGATTCATTGAGTTTATCTTTTTTTTTTTTTTAATTTCAAAAATGTGACTCTTGGAGGGGTGGGAGGAGAAATTGATTTAGAGGTTCTTCAGGCCAAAATCTGGTCTCAATTACTTTTCTGTACATTGGGGTGTAACTCCAATGGATTTGACTTTGTTGATTGAACTGGGCAATCCAGATGAAGCCCTGGCCTTTTAAAGATGCCTAAAAAAGAGTTAGAGAAGGGAAGAAGGTTGTGTTTTGCTGTTGTTGTTTTGCTGAGGGGATTAGTGTTACAACAATAGTTGGGTTACTCATGCAGAAAGTCATCTTGGCTTTGTTAAGATCAGAAGTGAGGATATTTGCTCTAAGTGTTTACCAAAGATAGCTCCAGACAGCTTGTTTTTTACTATTGGCAGTAGCACTAATCCAACCAGCAGCAGCCAGAGCTAGAGCTGATGGCTGGGTTTAAATGAGAGTATGATGCATGTGATGTCTGGATAGTAGAGACAATACACCGAGGAGCTGCCAATCTTTGATCATGCTCTGGTCATGTAACTCATCTTGGAAAAGGGGGAATTGGTTTTTTTTCCTATAGAAAATTAGTGTGCTTCACAATCCAATGCCAAAGTGAAAAAAAGTTGTTCTTCAGGGATATTTGCAGGTTTTTGCTTCTCTCCAATGACACTTCAGAATATAGAAGGTGTCCTTTCCCATGTCAGGGCGTTTGGAACTAGATGATCTTTAAGGCTCCTTCCAACCCAAACTGTTGTATGATCCTATGATGATTTCTGTTGGAAGAAGAGAAGTTGTGATACTGGAAAGCTACTTCCATACTGGAAGTTGAGATACTGGAAAGTCAAACCCCAGTTGTGATACTGGGGTTACTGGTGGGAGAAGGAGTCACTGGATGGGCTCTTTCTTTCTTTATTTCCTTTATAATTTTAGTTTTTTGTGGTGCATCTCCTCTTGGACTAATTTTTAAAGACTCTTATTGTCCATTAAGCATCAATATCAACTGTCCATTTAATGCAGTCAGTCAGAGACAACAAAAGTCAAGAACCCTGTGCATGTCCCATGACTACAAATGTGACAGCAAAACCTAGACACAAAATAATATGCAATACTCAGTGTTTCCTGCTTTGTGGAGGTTCACCTGGAAGTGCAAACAGGATGGAGCTGTTTGCACATCAGTTTAGGCCTCGCCCCGCTGATTTGTTTCAGCTGAACTGTGCCCAGGCTGTCTCAGCATACCCACAATGTGCCCTGCTGTGAAGGAATACGCTGAGAGCTGCACTTCCCCTCACACCCACGCAGGCATAACAGAAATGTTTACAAAAGGAGGACTGCTCTTAGTAATCACTCCAAAGTTTTCGAGTGTAAATGCCAGCTCAGAGTGGCCCTCTGACTCCTTCACTGTTTTTGAATGCTCAGTTAGCCCTTCCCCATGGCTGCCATATGTAAATGAGGGTGGCTTTCTCCTGGGCAGTTCATTTTATTTTTATATTAAGTATTTTTCCTTCGTTGGGAGGGATTCTGTTAGAGAGGAATCCACATGCACTCAGAGCTTTAAGGTTTCTCATCTGTTCTGGGCTTTTTTGTGATGGGAGGATGTGCCGTACCTGCAGAGCATGTGGTGCTTTGGGTGATGGTGCAAAGTCCCTGGTTATCAGGGATCCTCTGGGAGCCCACCAGCCAGAGACAGGGAAGCTGGCCTGTGGTGTAGGAGGCCAGGGAAAACCTCTCACAAATCACCTCACAGCTTCTTCCCCAAAAGTAGGTGTTAAAGAGTCATCCTACCCCTTCTGGGCCAGAGCAGCGAGGAGGTGAACCTCTTAAGGGCCTCATGTTTGCCTCAGAAGCATCTGTGTGGGTCTGCCCTGGAAGTGCTGCTGTGGCAGCTGGCACATCCCTGTGGTGCCCCCAGCACCCTCCTTCCCCCAGGAGGTTTGATGGTGTGTGGGACCAGAAGAGATGGTCTGGTGGGCCTCAGTGGCCGAAGTCAGTGCTCCAGCACCATTGCAAGACCATCTCCATGTGAACCAGAGGGTACCACGTGATCTGCATGTCCACCTCCAGGGACTGTCTGGGGAAGCTTTGGGCTCTGCCTCGTGGCATTTTTCACTGTGAATTGGGCAATGCTGCTGAGCAGTGATGTTTGCCCTGTGGGCTCACAGGTCACCTTTGACTTGGCAGGGTGACAGTGTTTCACCTCTCTTCTCTCACGTCCCTGCAAACCTTGACCACCATCAGGCAGCAAGGGCTGGCTTTAGGGCATTTGCTCTGGGATCTGGTGAAACTTGTATTTTCACTTTCTGGTTTCCTAACGGGTCACAGATACCTTGAACCAGTCATCCGCAGGGCAATATTTCCCACCCTGCCTCGACCATGACCTCAGCCATGCCTTGGTGTGGAGGAATCCGCAGTAACCCTCTGCCCTGAGGTTCTGCGACCTCCTCCTCAGTCACTGAGCTCTGATGAATCATCTAATGTTCAATTTGGTTAAAGATTTTCCTCTTCATTATTTCCTCTTCCCTGGGAAGACTGATGTATTTGAGGTAGATGTTGAAAGAATATGTGGTTATGTTTTTGGGGTCAAGTAATCGTCCATCCAGCCCTATATCCTGCTTCTGGCAATGCAGTATGAGATACTGTTTTGAAATAACACATGAACCTTTGAAAGACCACTTTGCTATTTGTCATTCCTGTGCCCACACAGACATTCACAGTTGCTAGATTACGGGTGTTAAGTATAAAACCAAGTCTGGCATGGGTGTTCAAAGTGATGAGAGTGCCAGAGATGCCCAAGAAGTTCTTGTGCCATGAGGATTACACTATCAGGAGTGGCATGAGCCTCCAGAAAGGTGCCTCTTTTTCTGAGCTTTCCACCATCTTAGACCAAAATGATGTAAAAACATCCTGTTCTATGACTTTTTTTGCAGCCTTTACCTGCTGTGTTATTTCCTCCTAACACTGAAGCTGACCTAACCCCAAAACTTTAGGGGCCCTGTTTTCTATTCAGAAGCAGAGATTGAAAAGGTCTTGGAGTTTGAAGGATCTTGGATTTGAGATTGTGCTCTAACACACCATTAATTTTAAGATTGTTTTTCCAGCAAGCCTAGGCTTTCTGTGGCCATTCAAAGATCATTTACCATTGACTGTATGGTGAATTATCGTAGTGGAATGAGGCAGAGAAATATGTCAATATCAGCTGTAACAATGAGCAGTCAGTCAGATTTGAACCTGTGCCAATCTATACAACCCTGGTCTTGAAATTGTTAAAACAAAGAAGTTCATTACATTTAATGATCAAGTGTCCTTTGGATTTCTGAGAAGTTTATGTTAACCATTTAAATTACTCAGTTCTAATATAAATGGCAAACTCCAGGAAAATCCTCTTAAAATTAAATTGGAAGGTGTTTTTTTTTACATGTATATATCTATATAGTTATTTTGCTTCAAGGAAGTATCTGCTTTCCAGACATTTCTTCAAACAAATCATGTCTGAAGAGAAATAATAAACAAGAAGTAGCTGAAGCTACAAGGTTTTGCTGTGTGGAAGAGCAGGGAAAGGAGTTAAAAAAAGAAAAAAAAAAGTTGAATTTCCTGAAAAAGAGCCTTTGCTTATGCCATGTGGCTGTCACATTGCTGTCTGCAAAGGAATACTTTACCACAGTGTTCTGATAGAGCAAGTTCTCCAAATCAAGTATACTTGATGAGCTTCCCTGAAAATAGTGGGCAGGATTTGAAGGGATGTGTTACAATTTCTGTGAGCTAGTCCAGAGATAGTTTTCTGTTTATTATGCAGTGCCCCAAACAAACTTTGGGGCTGAAAGTGCTTTAGTTTTGTCAATGTAAGGAAATAAAAAGCATAATTTATGAGGTATTCAATGGTATCTTTATCATCACATATTAACTGAGAGTGAACGGTTTATAAATCCAAACATCAGTGGGTAAAACTAGGTCTCCTTCTACCAGTGCTTCAGCAAAAATTGATCTGTGTTTATCCTAAAGATAATTTCCTCCATAGTGTGCTGTTGCAAATATATCAGCAGGTATCATTATCTTCCAATAGTTATCCCAAACCATTTGGTTTCATATTTTGTAATTGAGGGTACTGTAAGTAATTGGGCCAGCATCCAAATGTGACTTTTTTTGACAGACGCTGTAAGATTCATGACATTTTTCAGCTTGGCTAGTATTTTCAGCACTGAAAACACTATTGTGTGATGTTTGAACTGGATAACAGCTTGACAGGCGTGCCAAGTGCTGACTGTAGAGTCTGCCCACCTCTGAAGGAAACGGCCTTAGGTTGTGCCAGGGGAGATTTAGATTGGATGTTACGAAAATTTTCTTCACTCAAAGGTTGCTCAGGCTTTGGAACAGGCTGCCCAGGAAAGTGGCGGAGTCACCATCCCTGGAAGTGTTTAAAAAACTTGTAGCTATGATGTTTAGGGACATGGTTTAGCAGTGGACCTGGAAGTGCTGGACTCAGTGGTCTTAAAGGTCTTTTCCAACTGTAATGACTCCATGATTCCATGAAGTCCACTTCCTAAGATCAGACTGGGGCTCATTCTTGTTGTGTGCTTCTGTTTCTGATTCCTGGAGGATTGGCATCTCTTAGTATAATATGTTGGAAGAGAGACACCAGGAATTTGCATCCCAGCTTCTAGACCTTTTAAAACTCTGCTCTCTGGTCTGTTCATTTCACACAGAAATTGTTCTGGGGAGGGAAAAGCACAGACCAGGACGTGAAAGGGCTGAGTGTTGAGGAGCAAGTTGTGTTTCATCACATTCTTACTCTTGGTAGTACTGATGTGTGTATGTTCAGTAATCCCACTTCTTTCAATTAGGCTGTTGATACCCTAAAATTTTTCTTCCTTAAAAAAAAAAAAATCTCTTTTTTTTTTTGTTTGTTTTTATTTTCCCCCTAGACCCCAGGCAGGCGCAGTCATCCCCGCCATGGTCCTATGACCAGTCTTACCCATCCTACTTGAGCCAGATGACTTCACCGTCCATTCACTCCACAACTCCCCTGTCCTCCACTCGAGGCACGGGACTTCCAGCCATTACCGATGTGCCCAGACGCCTCTCAGGTAAAGACTCTCTTTTGCCTAAAACAATTATGTAGAGAGGAACAGGACTGGCAGAGGCTGCCTCTGTGGCCTCAGACAAACCTTGGCAAGGAGAGCAAACCTCAGCAGTGGTACCAGGGTTCCTGCATGACAGGCAGGACTCAAAATCCCTTTTTTTTTTCCGATATGGAAGAGCTGTTATGTTGCTCTGAGCATGTCTTTCTCGAATAACTTTAGGTCCATTTCGGATTAGATTATTTTTAAATTGTGAACCCGATTCTTTGAACAAATTCTCTCTTTTTTTTTTTTTATTTCCCCTACAAAAGGATGTTTACTTGCATGTAATTAGGTACTGGCACAGGTTTCCCAGAAAAGCTGTGGCTGCCCCATCCCTGGAAGTATACAAGGCCAGGTTGGATGGAGCTTGGAGCAAATTGGTCTAGTAGAAGGTGTCCCTGCATATGGCAGGGGGGTTGGAACAAGATGATTTTAAGATCCCTTCCAACCTAAACCATTCCATGATTCTGTGTTTTAAAGCAAATGTTATGCTGTCTATTTTTTGGTGCTTTATCTTTGTGGTATGAGTGTTGTTAGGCATCCTGACAAATAGATGCCTTTATTTCTTCAGTAGTTATGGCTGAGGTTCACTCTCCTGTATTTCAATCCAGTAGCTCAAGAAAGACTGTTTCCTTAGTTAATATGTACTTAAGGAGCCTATCAGAAATAAGCTGAGTCACTTAAAGGTAAAGATTGGCCAAATTGTGCTTTGGAATGATGCAGGAGAGAGGAAATACATTTAGGAACATAGACGACACAGGAGTGAGGAACTGAGACTTTTTTTTACCAAACAAATGCACATTTATGTATTGCACAATTCACCTCCAATGGTCTCAGTGATAAAACCATCTGTGTAAAGTAATCTGATTGCCCCAAAGTAAGAGAGAGCCTGTCATGGCACACAGTCACCTTGTACCTCTTGCCAAAAATGAGGAACCTTAGGGGAGGGAGGCTCAGTCTTAAAACTCCAACCTTGCAAGTGTGGAAATATTAGCAGCGTATGCCAAAAAAGCATGTGTAATGTAAAGAGAGCCTTTATGATTCATTAATGAAAACCAAAGAATCAGTCTTATTACATCTATTTTTTGCATGTTTGCAAGATATTATTATAATCTTGGATGCTGCTGCCATACACCTGTTTGATTCCCAGCCAGGTGAATTTCTTGCTGTTGTGTTTTCCCCTTCCACCAAGCTCATAGCGCTGGAAATGTTGATTCCTCCACTGAGCTGCATCCCTGACAAGCTGAACTGCAGCCAGCAGGCGTGGAGGATTTGATTAGCATAGACTTCTTGATTTCTTTCATCTTGGAGGAGGGAAGCTTTGTTTCTCAAACAGCCAGCTGCAAACCCCTCTGCAGCCCTAGTGCACTCTGCCTTCACAGAGATGCCAAAGATCTCCATGCAGGCCGAGGGCTGGAGGGTTTTGGAGCAGGTTCCTGCGGGCTCTCCATGCAACACCCTGGCTTGGGTCAAAAAACTCGATCGGCTTGATGCTGAGGAAATGCTTTGTTTGGCCTGAAACAGGTTCCCTTTGAGTCAGAGCCTCCTGATGCTCTGTGCTGTCGAATGGGTTATTTTTGCAATCGTGCCCGCGGCAATACCTGAAGGAGAGGCTCGGCTGGGACCTGGCAGCTGCACGCCGCATGCTTGCCCTGCAGCCCTTGCTTGTCTGTGTGTATTCAGACGTGAGCGCCTGGCATGTGGGCACAGGCAGGGAGTGACTAAAAGACCTGGCTGTGTTCGTTGTGTGGCCCTGGACTGAACTTTCCTGCCATGCTCTATGGCCAGTTGCCTTCGCGCTTCTTGTCCTTCATCTTTCCGGGGCTCGAGAGATGCCTCTGCAATGCCCTGACCTTTCCCAGTGTGGGGATCTTGCTTCTAGTTATATTCCAGAGTGAACAAGGGGACTTTGATCCTCCACAAGTGCCAGAGGTTGTGTGCAGTGTTTGCTGACAGAAATAGAAATTCAGAATAGAAACGATCTATTCAGAATTAAAGAGAGGCATTCCTGGCTGAAGGACCCACTCAGGTGTTCAGGATGCAAGCAGGCACTTAGCAGCCTCAGCTGCAAACCTGACAGTGCCTCTCAAGGGTTTCACTGGTAGTGCCACAGGGATGGAGGGCAGCATCCAACACCTCCTATATCTAAAGAGAGAGAGAAATGCAAGTTTTAAGTTGCCCCGTACAGCAAGCAGCTTACCACTCACACTCAAAGAAATGCAAATCTCCATTCAGTTGCTTAATGCATATTTAGGAAGAGAACAGAACTTTGAAGAGGGTAGAAAATTACTGCAAAGAAACACTAAAATCCTTAGAAAACTTCAGGCGTTTTTAAAGCATGAGGGAGAAATTAGAGTTTTATAAGGCCTTGAATAAAAAAGTCACTTTCCGATACAGTGGCAGAAATCTGATTATCAAGGCTGTTAAAAGTATACAAGGTCATGTTAATGAATGCCATATTTACTGCCTGTTGCTTAACATCATGCAGGAGGAAAACTGAGCAAAACCTCCCCCCTAGCCTTGGCTGTCACACCTACAGGCACAGAACTTCCTATCTGCCCTAATTTCACTACACCCACCCTTTTCCACGAGCCTCCATGGCTTCACCTGGACAACTGCTAAAGTTGTTCTCACCCAGATGTTGAAAATATTCCATCCAATAAGGCAGAAGTGGCTCCTGGGTTTATTGTCAGTGGCAGCCCTCAGGAGCTACTTTTAATCATTTTCCTTTGACAAAAACCACACTCATCCTATGGCCAAGTGGTGGTGTTCTTCCCCATCTTGGGATGGATACATGAGCCAGCAGTGTGCCGAGGTGGACAAGAAGGCCAAAGGCACCTGGCCTGTATCAGCAGTGGCAGCAGGACCAGGACAGGGACCATCCCCCTGTGCTGAGCATTGGTGAGGCCACACCTTGAATTCTCTGCTCAGTTTTGGGACCCTCATAACAAGAAAGACATCGAGGGGCTGGAGTGTGTCCAAGAGAAGGGAACAGAGCTGGGAAAGGATCTGGAGCACCCTTTCCCAAGGTCTGAGGAGGAGCAGCTGAGGGAGCTGGAGGGGCTCAGCCTGGGGAAGAAGAGGCTCAGAGGGGACCTTCTCACTCTCTACGACTCCCTGACAGGAGGATGAAGCAGGTGAGGGTCAGGCTCTGCTCCCAAGTAACAAGTGACAGGATGAGAGGAAATGGACTCAAGTTGCACCAGAGGAGGTTTAGATTGAATACTAGGAAAAAATTCTTCACCGAAATGGTGGTAAGGCATTGGAATAGGCTGTCCAAGGCAGTGGTGGAGTCACCACCCCTGGCAGTGTTCAGAAGGCACATGGATGTGGCCTTTAGGTACATGGTTTAATGTTGAACATGGTGATGCTGGGTTGGACACAATGGTGTTTTCCAACCTTAATGATTCCATGAATTTTGGTGATGAGGTTGCCTGTGTTTAAACCCCAGATTAGGCTGAGCATCAGAAGAGGTTTTGGGATGCAGGACAGGATGTGGTGGGGTGCTGCCACAGCAGTGCATGCAGTTCCTCATCCCATGGGAGAGGAGCAAAGGGCAGTAGGCTGCAACCCCAGGGAGCTCCTCAGGCAGCTGCTGCAATGCAGCTGAACTGGTTGTGTCAGTGTCTCAGAGGGTTTCCTTGCACTGCTGGCAGGTTTGCATGCATGCTGCAGGCACGTGCACGTGTGTGCCCATGGCTGCCAAACTGCAAGTGTTCATCTTCTATATTCTCCAACTGGGGGTCAGTGCTCTGTTTGCACCGACAGCTAATCAATTATATATCCCAGGTATTTGGGCAGTATTCAATAGCATGAGCTGAAAAGCAAAGCAAAAAAAATGTTATCTGCCATCACTCATGCAACTTTTGAACCAATGATCTTTCTGGTCCAGAAGTTTCACATTAATATCAAGAACAAATAAAGAAACAAGTTCATAAGGCCATGAAATTGCCTTACCTTAATGTTCCAATAATAAAATGAGCAGAATTCCCCATATTTTATTAAAATGTCTGTCTGTTCAGACTTCCCCAGAAGACAGTGAAAGTTGGTGGCCCAGCAGATTAATATTCTTAATTAAATAATATTGTAGTGGAAGCCATGGGAATATAAGAAAAGGGTCATTTTAGAGAGAGTTTGCCTGAGGGATGTAGTCTTGTTGCATGATTCATAGTGAATGCACTCAGTCTTTGTGTCCTATGCATAACCAAAGTGCATGTGGGATGGAGAGCATGGGTGACTATTATGTAATTAATGTATATGATTCATATAAATATACACATCACAGCCATTTTACATAACACTTTGGGGCTGATCCAGCAAGTCCTCCCCACATGGAAGGTTCAGAGCAGGGAGTACAGGTCGGGTTGTTCTTGCAGTCAAAAGAGGGCTGCTCCCAGGCAGGGGAAGGAGGGATGGGTATTGATGTCCACAGGGCAGACATCCATTCCTGAGGCGCTCACCCCCAACTCCCTTTTGAATCAGAGGGGACAAACTGGCATTTTCAGGACTTGACTGGTCTGCAGGTGATCTCTGCTGGTCCCTGGCAGTGCCTGGGAAGAACCTGTTTGTCTCTGAAGCGAGCCTAGGTGAGTAACTCAAGTACAGGCACGTATGATCTGATAGTCTGCCTTTGCTGAGGTGATTTAAGAGACAGTTTAACTGTCCCATAAACATATCCATATCACAGCCTAATTACACTCTAGTCCTGATTTAACCCTACCTCACCCTGACCTCGACCTTCTCCACTGTTTAAGGGTATGAGCTGGATTTTAATTTTTTTGAGAATCGTGAGAACGGAAAGGTGAGAAGACTTCTTCTTCCTCTACACTTTTTCTGGACCTACTCACCCTTCTGTGTTAACATAGAGACTAAAAAAGTCTCTTTTTGCTTCACCATTGAGAGAGACTTGTGGGGTCAAGATCTCCAGATGCTGGAGGACCTGTCCTGCAGGTGTACCACAAACA